AAAAAAAAAAAAAAAGGGAAGGAAGGAATGTGAGGGGAGCAGGCCTGGTGATCTCTCAGGTCCCTGCCAGCTACAACATTCTGTAATTCTAGGATTCCTTGCCCTAACCACCTGGTCTGTGAAAAGAAAACAAGTGACTGTCATAAATCAGTCATTAACTGAAACCACATAAAATTTACCTTCCCCCACTTTAACGTAAATGTTTCTTGCTATCTTGAGTTCAGTGAATGAAGTGACTGCTCCGTACTCCTTTCGAGCCCAACTTAGCAGACGGTCGTTTCTATAAGGGAATCTCTTTTCTTCTGTTTTTGCTGACAAGGAGAAGTTTCCTGATGAAAACTGGACCATGGAACCCTGAGACACCTAGAGGAAATAGAACAATGTACATGTTTAATATGGTACAGTCACCTGGAGCTGAATCATAATTAGAGAAAGCACTTATCAGACAATGGGTATTTGTCAATCCAACCTCTTCTCTTTGTTATACAGGTGGGTCTTTTTTCAGCAGCTGATTCAAGAAACAGTCCCAAGGCTACTTCTCCCAGGAAACAACAAAGCTAGCAGTGACCCTGGTATTTTTAAGAAACCAGTGACGCAGGATTGTGCCATTAGAATTTGTAAAGAACTCTGTGATAAGAGACTGCAGAGTGCATTGTGAGTTATCACAAGAATGATCATTGCTATTTTTCCTGATATCTCAGTTGAAGGCCAGCCTTTCAAGTAGAGTTTCTAGCCTAGCGGAAACTAGGGAGTGTGATCATGGGCTTGTCATGGGCTTCAAGATCAGGGCAAGCAATCCAAAGTCCAGTTAGCAAGTAAACCTGATGTCCAGGTCCTCCATAACTGCAGCCTCTACTGACAGCCACCATCCCAGAGACACTGGTTTGTGCTGTCCTGGGCAATGAGATAAAGAGAATGGCTGGAGGCTGTCAGTCTTCTACGACGTCGCACTGCTGCCTAGAAGTGAGATAAATGTATGTTACAGTTTATTTTGTGAGACCCCCAAACACCCACAGATAATGAAGTCAAGAGGCTGTTAGACTGATCCTAATAAAACTTTCAGGATGATTTATGCAAGCACCACATTCCTGCTGGATGCATCTAGACAATCGCTGACCTAGCACATCATGGTATATATAATTAACACATACAAAGGAGGAAAATTATCATCTTGCTGCTGCACTGCAATCAAATTTAGTTGCTGGTGAAAATATGCACATGTCATCTTAATTGGCTAGCATTTATAAAAGTAACTGATTTTATGAATGTCAGGGTGAAACCTCAAACTGTCAGCAACAAGGTTCACAAATTCCCAAGCCACAGTGCTATAAATGTATTAAATTTCACATTAACTATTTCTCATTAACAAAGAGCAAAGGAGTTTCCGAAGGGGGTTACAAATAACCAGACTAAAAGCAGGCTGAGGGCAGGGGTTTTGCTTAGGGTTCTATTGCTTACAGCGATGTTTGCAACCTTAATGCACAAACAACATAGTACGTACCCCAACTATGTGCTAGGCACTGTTATTTTCTATTCAATTATACACAGGTACAGTAGTCCCCCCTTATCTTTGAGGCATATCTCCCAAGACCCCCAGTGGATGCCTGAAACCACAGACAGCAGTGAACCCTATGTACACCATGTTTTTTCCTATACATAACTACCTATTGTAAAGTTTAATTTATCAATTAGGCACAGTAAGAGATTAACAATAATAGCTAGTAATAAAATAGAGCAATTAAAACAATATGTTGTAAATAAATGTGGCCTCCCTTTCTCAAAACATTTTACTGTACTGTATTCACCCTTCCTCTTGCAATGTCAGATGATAAAATGCCTACGTGAGCAGATGAAGCGACAGTGTTAGGCTACTACGGACCTTCTGACAATTCATCAGAAGAGGAGCATCTGCGTCCAGACTGCGACTGATCAACAGTAACTAAAACCATGGAAAGCAAAACTTTCAGATCGGCAGGCACTACTGTGTATATTTAAATGCTAGCAAAGACGTTCTTCGCCAAATTGATTCCATGACCTACTAATGCTGTGGTCTCACTCTTGGCTGAAAAGCAGAAGCATCTAAGAGCTTCTAAATATTATGAGGTCCAGGCCACACCCAAGACCAATGAGAACCTTTGGGCTGGGACCCAGACCTCAGATCATTTTAAAGCTCCCTGAGTGATTTCAAAGGTCAGCCCTGGTTGAGAAGCCCTTCCTTAATTGGGACTGAGTGATCCGTAATTTTAAAAGCACTATTATGGGTCAGGGGCAGCGTGGGCACCTTGCAGCTTCCTCTCTACCAGTGGTTCTTCACTGGGGTGATTCTGTTCCCCAGAGGACTTTCGGCAACATCTGGAAATATTTTTGATTGTCACAAGTGGGAGGGAAGAGCTACTGGCATCTGGCAAAGAGGCCAGGGATACTGCTAAACGTATCACAGGGGGCAGCCCCCGTGACAAAGATGACCCAAAATGTCGACAGTACTGCGCCTGAGAGATCCTGGTCTGACTGAATGTTGCTAACATTCAAACGTCTACTGGATCCCCAGATTGAATCCTCAAGTTGACAGTCATCTCTATGCTAGAATTTGGGCCGTTAGGTACTTAATAAAGAGTAAGAGAAGCTTCCTGGTTTAGGAAGCCCAAAACTAATCATTACTAAGCTGGACATAAACCATGGCCTCTAACAATAGTTACCACCTCATGCACACCTACTATGTATCAGGTATCATGAAGTGCTGCGAAGAACGCTAATGACATTTGCAAAATATGTCCTGATGCCAATTACATATAAACAAAATCAGTGGGGACTGTCCAGTTTTAACCTTGTTTTGAACAATGCCCGCAGAAGAAAAAGTTCCTGAACCATTTACCTGCCAAACAATAACCATGCCAACATATGTATAAACCCTCTGAGACTTAGCTACTCACCAACACTGAACTTCAGTGTTTATCTGATTTTTATGACTGAGGCACTGTAGTAAAATCTTCTTTTCACTGAAAACCACTTGTGCTAAAAAGTCATTTTTATCAAGCCTGTCACCAAAAAACCCACAACAGTGCAAAGGCCTTTGTCCCTCTGCCAGCACAGTTCTGAACGTTTCGGCAAGTATCCCTGGATGTTCCGCTCCTTTTGTCCTCATTCATGTTACAGCCATAAAATAAAGCACTTGAGTTTTAAACACCATGTACCTAGAGTACATTTCTTCGGAGTAGAAGGTGGGGTATACAGTGTAAGAGAGAAATAAGGAGCAACTCCCAAATGCATCCGAAAGTAACAGAAAAGTGATACTAGGGCATGGCTGATTCTTCAAGAAGGGGCAACTCTTGGCTGATCCCTCCATGTACCACCAACCCTGCTCCAGTCTGTCTTCTCCGGGGGCCAGCAGCAAGGTTCATCCACTCACAGCTGAGGAATTTGGAAAAGGAGTTAACTGCCGCTCCTCAGGCACATTCCAATAAGAAGAAAGCCAAGCTGCCAGAGGCAGTGAAATGTCCCTGACTGCAGGTCAGTGGAAATTTTCTGCTGCGGCACGGGGTTAGTCAGCACTCCTCCTGATCACCAGTTCTTCTGGCTCTGACAAAGTTGCACGCCGACAAAAGTCGGCCCCAACCCCCACCGAGTTTTAGAAGGTGTTGTTATTTCCATCTGATCCTCAGGATGACCTATGAGCTAGGTTACTAGGATTTCCACAGTGGAGAGGAAGAAACCTCAGAGAAGCTAAATGGCACACACAAGGTCAGAGGATCAGCACGGGAAGAAGACCAAACAGGAGACTTCAGACTCCTGGTCATAGTGAGCCTCTGTGCTAACCGTGCCAGAAAGAAGACCTCATCAGCTCCCGAGGCAGATTTCTGTTCTATCTGTAAGATTTGCCTTCTACTCATGTGTCTGAGCTATGCCTTCCAGAGGAAGAATTCCTTCCTCCTTCCTCCACGAGATAAGCCTTCAAGCATCTGAAGATGTCAGTTGACTCCAATCCTGACTCTACTTCTTCAGAGCACTATTTCCAGCCCCCTCACCTCCTCCTCAGATACTGTGGTTATCAGTTCTTCACCAGCATAGTCCCTGAAATGTGGTGCTCAGGACAAGACTTGGGGTTTGGGGTGTGGTCTGACAAATGCACCGTAATGGTTAATTATGTGCCAACATGCCTGGGCTATAGGGTGCCCAGTAATTTGGTCAAACATAATTCTGAGTATTTCTGTGAGGGTGTTTGTGGATGAGATTAACATTTAAATCAGTAGACTAAGTTAAACAGACTGCCCTTCCTAAGGTGTGTGGGCTTCATCCAATCAGTTGAAGGCCTGACCCCACCCCCGGAATAAGCTCTTCCAGGTTCTACAGCAGCCTGTTGGCCTTCAGATTCAAATCGGGGCATGGACTTTGCAGATTCTGGACTTGCCAGCCTCCATAATCACAGGAGCCAATTCCTTACAATAAATCTTTTTCTACATATATGTGGACACTGCATGCAGCCCAGAATCACATTAGGTTTTCTATCAGCTGAACTCTGCTGTTATCTCATATTCATTAATTTATACTTCAAACATACACCTGCCAAATATTTCTTGAGCACCTCCCTCATCTGTGCCGGGCACTGTGTTGGAGGTGCTGGGGTAATCGCACAGAAAGGTGACAGATGAAACTCCCCGGCCTTGTGGAGCTTACAGTCTCTTAAGGAAGCCAGAGGAGCACAATAAATAAGCGAAATATGTAGTATCCCAAGAGGCGCTATGGAGCAAAATAAACTGAGAGAAGGGAAGGCTTAAATGTCATGGGGAAAGTCCAGCTGAGAAAGTCACAGCATAAAGCCCTGCGGAGGTCAGAAGGAAAAGAATCTGTGGTTGAAACAGCAGCTCATGTAAAGGTCTGGCAAGCGGAAGGGAGAGAGGCGGGGCCAGTGTGGCTGGAGCACCGGGAGGGACAGGTAGATGAAAAGGTCAGAGAGGTCAGAGAGCCGAGAAGGTCCAATCTGACCTTGCAGACTGCCACTAAGGACTATGGTGTTTAGTCCAGGTGAGATGGGACACCACTGAAAGTTCACGAAAACATCTAAAAAATTTTTACCTCTGGCTGCTGTGGCCAGTCTAGATTGAAGAGCGGCAAGAGCAGGAGACCAATAGTAGGCTTCTGCAATAACCTCAGGGAGAAAGAGCAGCATCTCACGCCGGGGAGGTGGTGGTGGAGATGGTGGCACCTAAATCCCCAGGGCTCATTTTACCGGGTTGCGGCTCTTTCCATCCTTCCCTTATAGCAGTAATTCTTTCATAGAAACACAAAGTCTTATATTTATTCCTTAGACCCATATTTCAAATCTGTGTCGGACACATAAAAATCCTTATTCTGGGGGCGCCTGGGTG